ACAGCCGTAGCAGTGCTATATGAGGCTGAGTCACACTTTACAGTACACTACAGCCGAGCGGAAACACTGCTTTTAAACCACTCTGTGATAACTTTAGATCATTTTAAAAGTTCATATTCTTAGCTAGATTATGATAACACTTAACTGATCTCTTTATGATTAAAGTACAGACCCAAAATATATAACACAGTTGCTTCTTATTTCTTGTAAATTTAGACTACAATAAGTAGTTTCTTATATAATCTGGTGCTTAGAACTAAGTTTTTGTTATTTTTGGAAAAAGTAGAAACTCGTTTGCTAGTCCGTTATTGTTTTTATCTCACTCAGAAAATCACATGAAGATAAAAAAGTGTGAATAAAAAAAGAAAACTTGTTTATTTATTGACCTAATTTCATTGATTTCTTTAGCGCAGTGATTGCTTAAGAAATCAGTGAGCTGGTGTCTCCCTCTAGTGTTCATTCGCGAGAAGGCATCTGCAACAAAGTGGCGTGTTCAGCAAAAACTACAGCAGACCCTTTACAGTTGGAAATCAGTAAATAAACGCTTGCCTCATTCATATATGATGGAGTTTATTATGTCATTTCATTATGTGCTACTTTGCGTTTCTGCCAGTCAGAGCTTTTAAAGGAAATCAGCATCCATACAAGCCTGCTGAGTTTTCAACTGTGCTGGTAATCTCTGCGGAGAACCTTCCTGGAAAGGCAAAAACGACTTCTCTGCTGAGGCATTAAAAACTTGAACAACACAGCTGCACTGCACTGTGCACTTGCAGGCCTAGGGCTTAATAAACAAAAAACAACATCTTAAAAAATATGAAATGTTTTGATGTTTTCAAAATTGATTTCTTCAGTCTCAGCTGACTGCGGGTTTTCCCAACTTTATAAAAAGTACATTTGACTGAAACTAGCACCACTGTTGAACAATGGCCTGTAAGGTCAGTTTCAGGATCATTAATATGCAAATTGTGATGAACATTGATCAGTGACTATTGATCAATGACCAATAATAGGTGAATTATTTGAATGTATAGCATACAACCCATAGCAAACCCATGTTACTGCCTGTAGTACTGACCCTTGTATGTGAATTATATGAAATGAAGACACAGTTCCAACATCAAACACACTTGGTTGGTGCTGAGAGTTGTCCTGTTGCTGAGGTTGGGGTCATCCTGTAATCTCTTATGAACTACCTCCACTGCTTCAGTGACTGAAACACAAGTGAAGAGAGATGTAACATCGTACGAGACCATTATTTCATCAGCCTCCATAATGACATCTTTCACCTTCTCAACAAAATCCAAGGTGTTCTGGATGTGGTGTTTAGAGCTGCCTACCAGCGTGTTGAGGTTGAAGACAGAACTTTTAGATGTTATAGGCGACTGAATTGATCATACAGACAATTGGTCTTAAAGATACACCCTGTTTATATATCTGCGGTGAACCATACACACTTAGTGTAGCTTCCCCTGGGTATATCCTGTGGTATGAGGTCTGGTAAATGCATTGTCTTTGATCTTGTTTCAGGGGCTCACAAGTATTTTTGTCACTGAGCAGTGAAACATGCAGTGAAACGCTCCTTGAAGGCTCGATGATCCCCAAGGACAACATTAAGTCAACTTACTTCTTTAGAGATGCCAAAAGACATTCAGGAATCCTGTAACTCAGACGCCTTCCCATGGCTCCCTCTTTAATGACAGAGTTGTCATTCAGCAATACCTGTTCTACCCGGATTCACTTGATATACTTCAGAGTTCCACTCACCCTTCACCTGAAGCTGTTTATCCTCTGGCAGATGGCTAAGGTCACAGTTTGCCACAGCAGCAGAATGTAAGTATTGCTCCCCTTCCTCTGCACCCCTTCCTTCAAAAGGTTTATATGCAGAACCCTGCTGGAGCTGGAGTGTAGACATCCAGTAAGTAGTGGAACCCAGTTTCTTCTGAACCTTAAAGGGTCCTTGCCACTTAGCCAGTAGCTTATTGTTGTTAGTAAGGAGGCGCACCAACACTTTTTGTCCAGGACTAAGGGACCTCTGCCGGGCTGATCAGTCATACCAGAACTTATGCTTCTGCAGGATTTTGGTCGTGTTCGACTGGACACTCATTTTCTGAAGTCACTCCCTCATCTGCACAACATAGTAAACAATGTTAACAGATTCCAACTTTGCCTCGTCTTCCTCCCAAATGTTTCTTAAGAAGGTTAGAGGTCCTGAAACTCATAACCATACAAGAGTTCAAACAGAGAGAAACCAGTGGAGGCTTGTGGTACTTCCTGTAGGCAAAGAGAAGATAAGGAAGCCCTTCCATTCTCATCTACCACCTTTCGAAGCATCTGCTTTAGAGTCTGATTAAACTGCTCCATTAGTCCATCAGTCAGAGGGTTTTATGAAGTGGTCCTCAGGCTTTTAATACCCAGCAGCTTGTACGCCTGACATAAAGTTAGTTCTCTGGTTGGTCAGTGTTTCCCATGGAAACCCTACTCTTGAGAAGAGCTGTACAGGCCATTGATTTTGCCTTGATGGATTTCAGTGGGAAAACCTCAGGATATTTGGTTGCATAATCAGTAATTACAAGCATACAGCGATTCCCTGTCTTACTCTTCTCCACAGATCCAATAATGTCCATTCCAAGGCACTCAAATGGGATGCCAATAATGAGCAGTGGTGAGAGTGGAGCTTTGGAAGGAACTTCGAAGGATATCATTTGGCACTGAGGGCAGCTCTGGTCATCTTTGCCAGACCAGAAAAAAATGTTGTTTAAAGCGAGCTGTGGTTTTGTGTTTTCACAGTCTGTCCAGTAAGGGAGCAGAAACCAGTGTGAATACATGTCGGCAGCCGACATGTATTCACACTGTGCAAATGAAAGTGCCAGCAGGAGCACTGGAGGGGCAACAAGACAACCTCCAAAAATTAAAAGTGTTGCAGGTGGTGAGCACAGACCACTGTTTTCTGTTTATCCCTCCTGACTGAATTTTCTCTAGTATCGCTTTTTGTTAGTATTCTTGTCACTAATGGTAGCATCAGATGGCACCTGCAGCCCATTCAGGTTGCACCCGAAGTCCAGCTTCTCCAGGATAGGACATACTATCCTGCCATACCAAACTGTCAGAGTCCATAAGGTTTCCATGAGGGCCTGACGTGGATCTCTGCTCACAGACCAGCAATATGCAGCTTGAGTGGGATTCACCAGAATCCTCTTTACAAATGAGAGCATGTTCACAAAAAGCACATGTAATTTGACAGTGGGTCATGGATGCTTCAGAGAGTCATATCCATGGAGAGTCACACAGACCTTTGTATATTTCAGTCCTCACAACTGTTATGCAGGGGGGTGTGGAATAAGGAAAATATTTTACTGCTACTCATACTCATCATATTACCATTGCATTAATTAACTTTGCATTAAGTCATTACCATTGCATTAATCAAATTAATCATCATTTCATTAAAACATTTAGTGAAACTGTTGGCATTACATTAACATTTTTATTACAAGTGCAGCTATGACCATTTTATACACATTGCATTTTGTGCTTATTAAAGAGTTGGAGCTCAGTCAGTTAATTGGAGGTTGTAAGCCTCGTTCGGCGCGATATCCGGACGATCTATTGTGCAAGTGACTTGAAGCTATAGAAGGTTAAAACTGCATACATGCCTACAAAACACATATAATACATATAATCTAGAAACAGGCTTGAGTGAAGGCCTGAATGTATTCAGCTTCTTGTTGCATTTGAGTTTGCTTAGTAACAGGTGACAGAAGATGGGCCAAAGAGGAGGACAAGTCCCTGGGGATCTTCAGGGCCATATTTGGATGAAGATGCTAGAGAGGGGGAATTTCGGTGTCTGCGTTTATCTCTTAAAATGATCATTGTCTGTAAAAGATGCAAATTATGTTTTTAAGATGCAAATTACGTTCTTGTAAAACACGAGAAGGGGCGTTATAAAAGCAATCTGAAGTGTATTTTTGGGCGGAGATCTACATCTGATGTTTTGCAGTGTACATCTTCCCACGCGTGTGTTCAATAAACTCATCTGTTTGATTGCATCCTTCTGGGCCTCTAGTATTTTGTTTTGGTTCTCAACATCGGGACAGGGGCAAGAGGGGTGGCATGATGATACAATACATAGCTTTAAGTTGTTTTTGTGGACATTTTGTTGACTTTATTTATACACAGGGGATTTTCACATAGTTCACTGAAGAGGTATGCGCCACCCTGCCTAGACCTCTTGGCCCTCCTTCGCACCTCCATGTAAAATTTTCTAAATCTGCCACTGACTCCCACAGCATACCAGAACCAGATCAAACCCAGCACAGTTTAAGGTTTTTTTTTTTATACCCATAAGGAAGCAGAACCTCACTGAGCCCCTGAAACTGTGGTGATCACCTGGAAGAACCAGCAGAGTGCCATATAGCTTGCAGTGTGTGTGTGTGTGTGTGTGTGTGTGTTTCAAATCTCAAAAACAGATGAGCTCATTGTCATCCTGTCCTTAAACCCATTACTCACGCGGTAGCCAGGCAACAAGCTACTGGATACAATAAAGAAACATGCTAGCTTCAGTCCAGGATTTTTATAGGGTGGCGGCATAATAAGGATCTAGAATAAACCAAGTCTAATAAAAAATATTATGACCAAGGTTCGTGTAATTGTGGATCCCATGTTGCTTGTTAATAGACACAGGGTGTATCTATAAGGTGTCTTTTTCTCATTGATCCACATGTTTCGGTGTGTAAGCTTCATGTTGAGAACCTTTGATATTAAAATCCAAACAACTAATCACCAATAAATGAATAATAAAAAGGATGAAGTAGCATCTAAGTTTGTTCCTCCCTTTCAAATATCTTATGTACATATACTACCACTACAGCAAACTTAAATGTGGATGCCCATAAACAAGCGCTCTTTTCTTTCACTTGGATCGCCTTATGATTGGGCAAAGTGACATTTCATCCTAACTGTAAATCTTACTGTAGTTGGAGAGCAGAGGGTTTACAGCCGCTGGTCGGAGTGGGTTCCTGCGTGTGTGTGTGTGTGTGTGTGTGTGTGTGTGTGTGTATGGATGGATGTAATGAGGACGTTACATCACTTGCAGTGCAGCCAGACACCAGCAGCAGCATCCAGCTCGGAGGTAACGCGGAGCACAAACCCAGCTGGCCATATTGTGCACCAGCTCCCCGCAAATCGGCTGCGTCACACCTCAAGAAGGCACAAAGCAGTACTGCAGGAATAAAACCACTACACTGCGAGAGGCTCACGGATCAACCCCCCTGTATCGCTTGAGCTGGTAAGTGCTTGGATGCATTAACGCGTATTTCTGTGTATATTTTCCCCATTCACGGTGATGCATCAGCCCGAGCTTTGCTTGTCCTCTCCTGCGCTTTTGTGCTCAACGGGTTTTCTCGTGGCCCACAAAACGCCCCACATCGTGCACATTACACTGATTGGATTGCATTGTTGTGAGAGAAACAAAAACATAATGCACAATTCCTGGAATATTTATGCAATCTTGTGGGGTAGAGGACGATGGATAATGCTTTTCCTTTAGGTTTAATGAGTGCTTGTTTTTTTTGTTTTTGCTTTTTGACCCCCTCAGGTTGGCGTTTTTCCGTGCAGGGAAAATGGTTAAACTGGGCAATAATTTCAGCGAGAAAACCAACGGGAAGGTGGTTTCTGAAGACGGGTTTGACACCATCCCTCTTATAACACCATTAGATGCCAGTCAGCTGCAGTTCCCCCCACCGGATAAGGTATGCTTTTTGATTTACCAAAATGTCCATTGATATTTGTGATTCAAAGTGAGGGAACCAGCGCGTTTAGTGGTATTGCCATCACTCTAATTAGGGGGGGGGGGGGGGGGGGGGGGGGGGGGGGGTAACCAGTCTTACACATCTCTCCAGTATTACACATCACTTCAGTCATATTGCTTATAACTGTATCACTTGCATTAAAAATAAACATGCCGATTTTACCAGTCATGTTTTTTTTTTCTTCTTCTCATGAAGCGGCTGTGTTTTATTTTCCTGCCAGGTGGTGGTGAAGACAAAGGCAGATTATGATGGTGAGAGCAAAAAGGGAAAGCTACGATCTCCCAAAATCGCAGAGTTCTCAATAAGCATCATTGAAGGCGTTTCTGAGCGACTCAAAGTAAGAATAACGGAGCTGCTACAATCTGTGTTTCATGCATCATCCATTTCCCAGTATACTCCCACACATGCACATCCCTGAGAGCAGACATGTGTCTGCCTGCTGCTCAGGACATTTTTCATCCCCCCTCCAATCATAATATTTCCTCCCCAGCACAGCTCATACCTTTTGGCTCCTTCATTCAGCCCTCTTTCGCCTCCCTGTCCTCCCTTGTTGCCTGTAATCTTGGCCGGCTATACAGAGAGACATAATGCTCACTGATTCACTTAACCCCGCCCTGAGACTCTCATTAATTCAGCTGCTGCCATGGTGATGGCCTCCAAATGGCAGCATCTCTCCCACCTTTTAATGCTCCTTTGATTAGATGATAGATTTTTCTGTGCACACCTATAGAATGATTGAAACGCGTGTTTTGCTTTTATAAGAAACGAATGCGTAAAAGATGCCCTTTCTCCCTATAAATCCATCTCCGCATGTCTGTGAGCGATCCTCCCTCTACATTCATAATCAACAGATGAAAAAATATCTCTGAGCAGTGCCAGGCTCTCTTTGTAGGGCTTTAATTCTCAAACATAAAGCCACCGAGGCACATCACTGCCTGAGAGAACACAGCCTACATCCTCACGTCGGTGCTTTGAAATGTTGCAGGCGGGCCTTTCATCACAGAGAGTCTCTGTAATAAGCTCCTGTTGCTCTGCTTTGTGCACGCTGCACTGTGTGCTCTGCTGTGTAACTGTCCAATTCAAGCAAACAAATAAAAAGCAAATACTGTCATTCATATCGACGCACACTGTTAAGAATCTTATCAAATCTGAGCCAAACACAGTGGGCCAAAAAAACTAAAAACAACAACCCCTCAAAGAGTTGTTGGATGTGTGGCACATTGCTCATAATATGTGAAGTCTTGTTTCTCTGCTGCAACTGTGAAATTTCACAGATACAGAACCATTTCACTGACATTGCTTTATTTTATTTTATTTTTATTCCTATTTATTCTATTTATCCCCTTCGTATATTTTATTTATATTGTCTCTGTATTTATATATATATATATATGTGTGTGTGTATTATATATATATATATATATATATATATATATATATATATATATATATATATATATGTGTGTGTGTATTATATATATATATATATATATATATATATATATATATATATATATATATATATATATATATGTGTGTGTGTATTATATATATATATATATATATATATATATATATATATATATATATATATATATATATATATATATGTGTGTGTGTATTATATATATATATATATATATATATATATATATATATATATATATATATAATATTCTGTAACTCTGTAACTTCTGTCGGTGCTGTGCTTTTTTGGAAATCGAATTTCCCAGAGGAACCCACCCGAGGGATTAATAAAGTTCTATCTAATCTAATCTAATCTAAAATAGAAATTTTCCCTCCCTCCAAATAACTTAGCATATTCATTTATCCTGCTGCATAAAGCACACCTTTGGGGGGGGGGGGGTTACATCTTGGGTAATAATGACGCGCTCACTCCCACTGCCCAGTAGCTCCAGTAGGTGTTACATAACTCCCCTGAGAGGTGGGAGCTGAACTGTACAGGTGGCCGCACAAACTGTGTTCTTGTCGAGTTAATTTATTCAGATTATTCTGTAGACCTGACTGGATGTTACTGTCACCGTTTTACTTTATGACCTTCCACATAATTGTCTACATATTTTTTTTCTTTTGCTTCAATATGGCAACCTTTTACTCTCGCTCAACCTTTAATATCAAAGAAGCTATTACAGGTTGCTCCAGTCTGCCCACTCGCTTCCTTTCATCAAGATGTAGGGAGTCTATTTATGGTGTCCTTTAACGGAGCTGTCTCGTAGGTCTTCTGCTGACGATGGCACTGTGCGTCTCCTTTAGGTGACCTTGCTGGTGATCTGTGCTCTGGCTTTCCTGATGTGCGTAGTGTTCCTCGTGGTCTACAAGGTCTACCAGTATGAACAGCCTTGTCCTGACAGCTTTGTTTACACGGTAAGAAAAACATTTCACCGTTCATGCAGTAAAGCATTTTTGTTGCATTATTTTAAATGTCTAATTTAAATGAGGATTTAACTGATCATGAGTGCTGACACTACATTCACTGATACAATTTAAGCTGACATAAATAGAAAATGTATTTTTACCATGGATTTAAAAACAAAAAACTCTTATCTGAACTTCCTTAGATCCCCAATAAATCTACATTTTATTACCAGTGCCACCTGTTTGTGTGAAAATATGTAATTTTTGAGAGGTCAAACAGTACATTTTTCATATTACAGACAAAATGTTCAGTCAATATGCAATAAAACACATTAAATAGCTTTGCTGAAACAGCCATGATGGTCAGCAATTCGCAATAGCTTAACATGGCTACTTTTAATAAAAAATTTCATTATTAATTTTGTTGACTGGTTTCCAGTTGTGTTCCTGTTCCAGGAGCAGTTTAGATTAGTCCTTACCTAAGGCTTTTATCGTCTCATACTGCTGGTCTGCAAAAATGACATATTCTCACAATAAAAGCTGTGGGTCTGAGGTTATCGATTATTATCTCACCACAAAGCCTTGATCCCTCTACCTACAGTGCTGGGAAAAAGTCTTGAGTCACCCTTTATTTCTTTAGATTTTGCCTCCAATACTTTTGCTTCCAGCACTTTTTCACCAACAAGGTGATTCCCATAGAGCTATTACCCAAACACCTGGCACATCGTGACATGGTGTCCTTAAGAAATCGGGAAAAAAAATCCAGCAAAAACCTGACACAGGACCAGAGAGATGAATCTGGCCCCTCAGGTGGCCTTTCTACTGTCCAGTAAAGCCTAATCAGAAATGGTCTCAGTAGAAGTGTTGCTGTCAAGAAGCCATTTTCAGGGAAGGTGAAAAGGTAGAGGTATGCCAGATTATACAAGAACTAGTCTGAAAGTCTAATTTGAAACTTGTGGTTGAAATTGCTCAATGTACAGAGGCCAGGAGAGAGGTACCACAGTGAGTTTCTGTATCTGTATCTGCCATCTGTAAAATAAGGTTGGAGGTTCATGGTTCATGGCTGTATTCCTCCAGTGATGTTGGCCATCTTGACAAAGTTCCATCACATTTTGATCAACAATGCAATACCATCTGGAAAAAAAGGGTGACATTGATCCCAAACAAACTAATGCAGTAAAAGCATACCTGGGTATAGGAACAGAGGGAAACAATATCAGTCATGGATTGGCCTCAACATTACTGAAGCACTGTGGGGTCATCTTGTCAGGGAACAAATGAAAAGTCTGGAGAACTATTCTCGAAGACTACTTAAATAGATGACAAGAAAGCTTGACTAAGAGACTGTTTTGAAGAATAAAGGCGGTCATACCAAATATTTTGACTTTCAAGCTAATTACAACTGTATACATTCCCCCCTTATATACATGCATGTTTGCACATGTTAGAATAAATCACTGTAGCAATTTTCCAAAGCAAAATTTAAGACACAAATTGTGCCTCCAGACTTTTGCACAGCACTGTATAACTGTTTAAATGATAAGATTTAGCTTGCGTTGTTTTCTGTGCTCTTTTGCTCCAATCTATATTCTGTTGTCATCACCTATTGTGTGCACTGAATGAGTTAACTCCCAGTATGTTTAATTCTCTCTTTCTGGAGCAGCAAGGTCGCTGCATGCCAGCTGGGCTGTATGGCAACTACCCCCCTCAGGGCCCTGGGGGCCGCGGACGTCTCTTCACACTCATTAACCACTACAACATAGCCAAGCAGACCATCACTCGGTCAGTATCACCATGGGTGACCATCATGTCTGAGGAGAAGGTCACCCAGCAGGAGACGGAGACTGCCCAGAAACTGGCTTAACCAACCTGGGATCAGGTGGTGGCTTCGCCTGCTGCAGAAAAATAAATAATATGGTTGTGCCATTCAAGCAAACCTCCCAGTCCTGTGGCTTTAATGGTTAAAAATCCACTTCTCTTGGCTGAGGTGCTATGCTGCCTTGTTGATGCAGTTTGGTCAGCTGATGCTTACAGTAGGAGGAATTTCTGCAAGTGAGGCTAACAGCTGGGTGGATTTACAGGTTTGTTTGAATAGCATACACTGTTATTTATTTACACTTTGAGTGGCAAACGTGTAGAAAAAAAGCCACAGAAACAAACACTGACACACACATTCACTGTCTTTGTACATACACATATGTAACAGAGCTCACTTTAGTACTCAGATTGTGAAACGACTGTGAACCATCTCGTGTCTGCGTCGCTTGTTTTATGCACGCACGACTCTTAATAACAATCAGTTTGCTTTGAATCTCTTTGTATTCCAATACATCAAGTACTGATATGAGCATGTTGGAAATCTCGAGGTTGGGCGAGTGGTAAATTTCTCATGAAGTGACAGGATATTTGCCACTGAGGCCATCTGTATGAAAATGTCTTAGTGTTATGGTATTGTGAACAAAGGCTTGACTTGGAGGAAATGTACCAGCAGAAAACATATTTTAAATTGTGCTGTACTGCTCTCTGCATATAGTGCTTTAAAAAAAACCGAGTGTTTGATCAAGTTTCTCTTTCTTTTTTTCCCCTCAAACAGACATGAATGATTGTTTCCATTCATTTGGATTCTGTGAACACAATGTGCTTTGATTTTCTGGCTACACAACACTTATTTAAGGATTACTTTACAGAGCATAACTTTTAAGCTACTGTACTGAATGTTTTTTGCATTGCTAGTGAAGACACTGTATTGCGCAATGCTTCGCATTGATTAATGTCGCCATATATGGCTATAAGCAGCCACCACAGATACTAGAGTTAGGCTGATGTAGTGGAACAATCTGACAGTAGTTGCTTGTCCTGTTGTTTCCTTTCTGTATTTGTCATTTAACTTAACTTGCCACAAATTATGTACCTTTTTCAAACAATGTAATGATTGCCATTGAAGTGCATTTGCTACATAAAAAAAATGTCAAATGAAAAACTCAAATAAAGTGCCCACATTTCACACCGACGTCTATGTGCAATCCATTTATGCAAAAGAAGATTTTTATTCATTACTTTGAGAGCAAGTCATGTCAGAGCTGCTGAAAACTCCCTCGGCACAGAAAATAAACACAGTTAAAAGTTCCAGTTGCTCTTGAGCTGACATCAAAGGAAAAAAATGTTCAAAGCACTTTAATGCTGTCACTGGAATCTGAGTTAATCATTATAAACAGATTAACAGAAACATCAGAAGTCAACAGCTACTTTCTCCTTAGCTGACACAAACCAAGGCAGGCAGCGGCTTCAGCTGCCTTTGATGTTATCTGCAAACCCACATAGATACGAATTATAAAAATTGTTTTATATCATGAAATATCATCATGAATTAATGAGAGAAGGTACACGTTAAATTTGCTATAAATTAGTTGAGAATCATTTGCTTTTACTTGAGTGTATCTGATGTGCCAGTACAGTTTATTCGGCTCCAATCTGCAAACCATTTTGAGCATTTAGAGTAATTTATTTTACATAAAGAACAAATCTTTTTGAATACATGGGACTGTGATGTCAAGATGCAAATACGCTCTAGTGCATAAAACAGTTTCGGAAGAGATTCACAGGGATCGAAATCCAGTCAAACCATTGTTACTCATGGCTGAGAAAGGCAAGATGTTAAAATACAAGTGCATTTTTATATTAAAGCTACCCTAGATAGAATCAGGGAAGAATTAAGTGCCATTTAAACTTGAGGACATAATCTCACGTTCAGTCTCGCTGTTGCCATCACTTCACTTCTCAGTTAGTTGTACAATCACTTCTGAGATTGGCATTGTGTATCAGCTTCAGGCAGTTTCTTGTTGTCCAGAGTCCATTTGGGCAGTCGTGTTAACTGTCATACCAGTCCAGGAAGAGAAGAGAAAAAGAGCACATAACGAGGAAAAAGAGGATCCATACCCTAAATCCAGCGTTGTTTTTGATAGCCTTAAAAAGAAGTAAACACAATGACATTTTACTGAGTGGAAATATAAGTCACATATATACTCACCGGTACACCTGTTCAACTGGTTGTCAATATAAATACCGAATTAGCCAATCACATTGCCGCAGCTTAATGCATTTAGACATGCAGAAGACCTGCTGAAGTTCAAGCTGAGCATCAGAATGGGGGAAAAAAGTGATTTAAGTGACTTTGAACGTGGCACGGTTGTTGATATCACTGTCCAGTGAATGGCAGTTCTCTAGGCCAAAATGCCTTGTTCATGCCAGAGGTCCAAAGAGAATGGCCAGACTGCTGTGAGCCAAAAAGAAGGCAATAACAACACAAATGACCACTTGTTACAACCAAGGTATGCAAAAGAGCATCACAGTCCACAGAGTACCTATGTTCTGATGGCTGCTTCCAAATCCTCTCAAACTGGTTTCTCAAATATGAAAACAGGATCTGGTGACCTCCACAGTCACCAACAGAGCACTTTTAGGATGTGAAACAGGAGCATCACATCATGGATGTGGAGCTGATAAATGTGCCGCATGTGTGTGACGCTATCATGTGAACATGAAACAAAATCTTAGAGGTTTTTTTTAGCACCTTGTTGAATCTGTTGAAATTAAAGCAGTTCTGAAGGTAAAAGGGGGTCTAACACCCAGGTGTATCTAATAAAGTGACCGGAGACTGTACAGCCAATATATGTGATGCAGAGGTGTGTTTTTCCCCCAGTGCAGTAAAAGGTACCTCTCGTATATCCTCATTGCCTTCTTTGACGTTCTCTGTAGCACCAACGACGAGCTGATGAATGTTGTCTATTTCTGCTTCCTGTCATGGAGAATAAGATGGACAATAAGTCTGTGTACAACAATGCACCGTGCACTTAACAGAGTGCCTGTGTGAAACCGAAGGAACCCAGCTCACTTGTTGCAGGACTTTCTCAGCAAAGATTTCTTGAAGTCGTGAGATCTCTACCACCTTCCCTTCGATTTGCCTGGTGGGTACAAACACTGGCATGAAGCATCCAATGAAAATAATGTGGCTAGCATATATAAGCCCTTCCAGATGATGTTAGGGGAACATTTAGTGTTTAGTGATTTTTTTATCACAAGTGTTTCAGATCCATTTCATTTAGTTTTATTAGCCACCAGAGGACTAATCTGCAAACACTCAAATCTTTGGGTAATTTTAATCCTGTCTTGATCAACATCTAACATTTCAGCCATGCTGTTTAAAACAGACTTATCAAAAACAGAAGGGAACATACACAGATGGAGACTCACCTCACTTCATCCACCAGGCTGTTCATCTCACTGATCAACCTCTGGTTTTCCTGCTCAAACTAGACATAAACACAGTACTGAATAAATATGTATAATGCAGATGTCAAATGCTAATTTAGTGTAAATATATTTCCACTTTTATTTGCCTTATCAGGAAATCCCTGTAAGCTGCTTTTGTGATGACAAATAACAATCCAAATTAGTCTGACATTTGCTGCTCTAAATCTTTAACCCTTCAAACCTCTGGCAAAAATCAACAACGAGTTGTCCCTGTGCACCGACACGCTGTCAAAGTACAACATTAACGTTTGAAACATGCAGATCTATTCATTCATTATTCTGTATACATAAATATTTTCTAAGGTGTCACACCATCTGAATTTCCTCTGGGGAGAGCTCATCTTCCACTCGGCTCTCCTCCCACAGGTTTACAGGGTTGTCCTGGACCTCTGATGATGCAGTCTTCTCTAAAGGGCGAAAGACAAAAGACTTTTAAAGACAACTTTAGACGTGTTACAATAAGAAACCTCTCTGAAAATATAACCTTGAGCAGTTATTATGATGGAGTTTTTTAAATGGAATATCTTCAGTTAGTTTATTATTTAGTCCATACTCCTTTATTGCCTTTGGTAAGCTATTCCAGCATTCAGTAACTTATTTTTTAGAGTGAGTGTGTTGTGAGTCCAGATGAGCTTTGAAATTGGTTCAACTGCCTTCAGGAAGCAGTCTCTTAAAGCAGTTTTCACTTTCAAATACAAATCAAGTTGACAAGATTATAATAATAAATGTCCTTTTTGACTACTGTAATTATAACTAGGGATAGGTACCGGTATCCGATGCCATTATGGCACCGGTTCTGACATAAACAGTAGTAACCAGACCGTAAAGCAGCGCACATTTCGGTGCTTTTTTTTTCTTTCCCTGAGATGTCATACACTTTGGATTCTAGCCAATCATTTTACCTTTGCAAGGATAGTAGGCGGGCCCAGGTACGTACGTTCTTTTCGAGCTACAGATTAAAAATGCCCAAGGCGAAGCCGTCAAAAGTCTGGCTGTACTTCACAGCAAAAGATGCAAACTCAGCAGCCTGCAACAAGTGCTTTAAGGTGATACTGTGCAAAGGAGGTAACACCTGGAATCTGACGACCAACCTGGCGACGCATAGCGATTTTTTTAAAAGCCGAGAAATGCACAGAGTTAGCAACATCTCCCAAAAACCCGAAGAGGAGAGTCCTGGCCCCTAGCCCTGCCAGTGTAGCAGAAATGATGACGGATGATGATGGCAGCAGCAGCCGTTCTTCTCTGCGTGAGTAGCTTAATGTTGTCCGTGTGTAATTTACGTTGAGTAGGCTCACCACATTATTACATTAATGCATGTAAGGTGAACTAGCAAACACTGTTGTAGTTACATGCAGTTGTCTTCTTGTTTGATGGCAGATACTCCCTTCACCCTGGCCAAAAAGGCTAAAACGACCAAAGAAAAAGTGGAAAACAGCTAAACATGAGAGGTTTAAAGTTTGTGTTTTTTCCATTGTTTAAGCACTGCTTCCAGCCAAGAGTGATACCATATATGCCCTATAGCTGCAGAAAAGGCTAACATTGTTATCTTTCTACAAAAAAAAAAAACAGCTGAACATGAGAGGTTTTTGGACAAAGTGTGTGTTCTCCACTCTTTAAGCACCGGTTTGAGCACCGTTTAAGCACCGGCACTGTTTCGAAAGTACTGGTTTGACACCGGTATCGGATAAAACCTAAACGATACCCATCCCTAATTATAACATTTAATACAGTTAACTGATCCAAATAGTGCTACTTATTGCTTCCTGTCTGCCAATGTTGGCTATGGATGATGATATGAATAATACTCATACTTAACTTTCAATCTTAACTGAGATCACAAAGAATCATCATCATCATCATCATCATGTGCAATGACACTGTGATAAGACACCATGACATTATATATATTATATATGTTTTAAAAAAAGCTGAAATATATGAGATCACAAAAAAGTAGAAGAAGAAAGCATAATTTGGAGTCAGGTAAGTTCTAATAAAATGCAGTAGGGCTTGTCGTGACAGGCTTTGCATGTTGACTTACCAGAACTTCCCTCCTTAACGGTGTCCTCCTCTGTGGGCTCCACTTCCACTTTTTTCTCCACTGGACCGTGATGCTCTGGTACCAGTCTTGATCTGTGACCACAGAACACAATATTACATGAATCACAAGCAGTTTAAAAATGATGAGTGACAACAGGTCAGTGAGGAATGCAAATACTCACAGCCTCTTCTTGTCCACCATTCTCTTGACTCTAATTGCTCTCTGCTCAGAGTACAGCTTGCATACACCTTAAAACCAAAGATGCAAGGTATGATCAAATTGTGTCAGATGCATTATGAAAGAATTATGAAGTATTAAAACAGGTAACAGAGGACTCACTAGAAGTTCAGTAATTAGCTACAAACTCACCTTTTAGGTATGTTTCAATGAGGTCTAGCACCGCTCCCCTGTGCTCCTTTATCTGAGCTGATATCACCTGTTTTTCAGCTGAGATGACAACAATAATATATTTACAGTCAAGACTTCCTGACTTGGAAAGCATGCAGTATGAACAAGACCATATCAGCATTTCCAGATATGTTATGTTTAAATTTCCATTTAAGTTGATTTGCTGCACAGAAATAAAAGACACACCTTCATTGCGTAGCTGCTTGATGGCTTCAGAGCAGGTTCTCATAAAGATCTGAGCATCC